AAAAAAAAAAAAAAAGAAAAAATAAATAAATAAATAAATAAATTATATTTATATTTACCTGGTTTCTCGAATTTGCTATTCATTGCATCGAAATCGAATTCCTCCGCAACTTCATTCTTAAGTTGCATATTTGGTTTACTAGCCAATTCGCCAACGGGCTCATGGAGGGCCTCCTTGTACCCCCCTCCTCTTCCTTCTGTTCTTCCTCCTCTTTCTCCATCTCTTCCATCAGGCCTGGGGCCCCTTCCTCTTCCTCCACCTTGTCTGCCTCCACCAGGGCCTCCTCCGCTCTTTGCTCCACCTCTACCCCGAGAGTTGCTTGGAGGACGGACTCCGTCGTGTTGTTGGGGGGGGCCCCCGGTTGCTCCTACAGAACCCAAATCCTCCACTGTCTGCTGCTGAGGAGTAGGGCCTCCTCTACCAGGGAACGAGGCACCGGGGGCGCAGCAAGAATCTGCCATCTCGTTAGGCGCATTGGGGGCTCCCCCAAGGGCACCAAACATAGAAGAGGGGTCCCCGCTAGGCCCACCAGTCACATGCGAGGCTGGAGACCCAACACCAGGACGAAGGAGGGAGGAAGGTGCGCCAGGACGTTGAGGGGCCCCCGAGGGGCCCCCCATGTCCATACTTATGATGGCAGGGTCTTGTGGGTAGGGTGGCGCGGGTGCTGCTGGCACTTCAGGCTCGCTGCAGACCGTCAGATCTTTTATGTGCTTCCCTGCATGCATAATAATGAAAATAAATAAATAATATATTAATAATACATATATCTATAAACCTTTAATCGTAAATAAATCGTATATTAATAATACATACCCGTAAACCCTACACGTCTGGCTACCAAGAGCAGATAGATGTAGGCATAACGTAGTAGGCATGAGACTAAATGACTACACTAACTTCAATTGTTTTCCTCCCCTAAATATGAATAATAAATCAACTTTAATTAATGACGAGAGAAGGGAGGGAAAGAAAAGAAAGAAAGGGAACAAACTAACCATAGAAAACAACGGAGTTGTATATTTCTGGTGAGGGAGGAACGGGAATAGGCACAGGACGATCTTCTGTGCCAAAGGATTGCACAAAGCGAAGGGAAACCGTTGAGGCCACCGTGTTGATGGAGTCGAGGATACCTGCAGGAGAAAAAGGAAAAAAAGATACATGCATGCATAAGAAAACTACATTTTTGCACACAACAACACAAACATACACATACACCCACTGTGCCAAAATCACGCATAGAGAGAGGATGACGACTCCTAATACCTCACAGAGCAATAATGGAGAAAAAACGCCACTGTATAAGGGGAAAATAAGGGAAAATAAGCCGTTATGCAACAAGCACGGATAAAACAACGGACATGCAACAAAAGGCTGCATCCTGAAGCAAATATTTGGCTTCGGCATAACTTGTTTAATTGTATACTAATATAAGGAAGAAAAACTATGATAGAGCACAGAGAAAGCCGTACTGCTCCGCAGACAAGGAAACATATACAGATATGTTCCTCGTGCAAGAAGGAACACGCTGTCAGCCGCTCAGAAATCATTGCCATGGATCTTAAACTCTTATAAGGAATTAAAAATAGTATGCGCTATAATTGTACGAATTTTCGCTAGAAAACATTCATAAATTAATGCAGGAGAGGCCCGCTCATGGTTGTGCAGAAACCATGGCTGCGTGATGGGCGTATTTCTGTTGGGTGAAGATTCTCGTTTCTAGCGGATGCTTTAGGGTCGTCTTATTTGAATACATTGAGGAAAACACAGAAAAAGTGGCAATAAAAACATGCAAAAGGAGCAGCCCCACTCGAACAGGTACTCGGAAACAGGACGGCTGCAGGGAGGCCGGCTGAGGGAATTGTGACAATTTTCGGTCCTCTCACCTTCATACCGAATATCCGAAGTAGTAATTAAAGAAATTCTGCTGCCGGTATACGGCAGCTCCTCCCCAGCCCCCTGCGAACCCATCGTGAATACCTCTTCTCCCCGTTGACTGCTGAGTGGTTCTGCTGGGCGGTTAAGGGAACAACAACAGCTCCTGGTGCATCCCTAGGAAGACTTTACCATTTAAACATGGTGACTCCGTCATATTTATATTCTCCCCCCGCCAAACACTTACACCGTGCACCAGCCAGCGCAGCTCCGCAACGTTCGAACGAGCCCGCTGATGCTACTACAACTACTGCATGCAGCAGCATATGTTTGTCATCCTGTATGTGGTCAACGGCACTGCACACCGCGCAACACCCCTACCTTCCTATTAACTGAAGAGAAAGGTTATTTTATCTTTTTTTATAATTATTCTCCCTTTTTTACCGTCATTTGGAGGCCCAACGCCTTCTGCAGACAACATGCTTTACGGCAGGTGCCGTGTCTGTAGTAGGCTGCTACCCAGCAGCAGCCTAGTGCATTGGCATCCGGTACTAAGCAAAGAGCAAAAGGGCCTGTATAATAGGCTGCTGTGTTCAAAAGTAGCGAAATATATATGCACTACATCATAGAGGAACGTACAAACTGCAGCACTACGTTTTTTTCGCGGCCTACTGGGCGCACACGTGTGCATGGTTGCTCAGCTGTCCAGTAAGGTAGGAGGAGAGCTGCAGCATGCCGCCCCTCTACAGTGGTGGGGAATTAACATTTTTTGTTATAATTATACGTAGAGTGAGGAAAGCAATGGGGGTATTGCTGTTTTCTTGTTTTTCTTTGTTGTAGATCAGTGTGTGCATGGGTATATAGCATATGTCCTAGCCTGCCAGCAGCCAATGGTGGTGCATGCGTTTCTATCTCTTCTGTACATGTTTGCTACTTTTCCCCTCTTTGTAGTTGATGAACTATTTAAGGCATGAGTGCATGCACGAAGAAGCAGCTTGATTCAGCTTGCATGCGCATTGACTTGGATAACGGGTCTTGCTGCAGTGTGACTGCAACTCGTCACGACCCCTCTGCTCTCCGCAGCATTCCCCAGCATTGACACCATTGCCCCCAGTGAATCTAGAGGTTCGGGCGTATAGGGAGGTGGTAAAGGTGAATAATAATGTATATTGACTCACCTTTTGCGCGCAATCGTGCTACGACTGACGGGTCGTGTTGTTAGTACACTTAGCACTGTTCAATAATAGAGGAGATGCGCATGCAAGAGCTGCGCATGCAAGAGCTGCAGACCCTTCCCCTCTACTCGGCCTAACGGCTATAGATAGCGCATGTCAGTAAGGAAGAGGCCATGAAATAATTAAGCAATTATATTCACATTCCCTCCCTCTGCATGCATGCACGCATTCCTCTCGACTTCCCCTCTTCTTTCCTTCCTTATTACGGTCTGCCTTACTGTCAGCTTACCACCAACTGCAACACCTTGTTGCAGCAAAATGAATTAACTATCCAATTCCTATCCAAAAGAAAAGGGAAAAAGAAAAGTAAAAAAAAGAAGAAAAGGACCATGTAGGATTCCCTTCTCCTCTTGTGTTTCCACGGAAGTATGACGAGGAAGCAGAACTCATGAGGAAGAAGAGGAACTTTCCTACATTGGCGCGGATATCACTGTCGATTCAGACCCCTCTCGCTATGCTGAGCAAGATTCCAGTGTTTGCTTCCTTTTATTCCCAGCCTTGACCCTCGCAGCAGCGAAGAACAACTGCTACTGCTTGCAGTTGCTGCTACAGCATGGGGCTGATTCCAACGTCAAAGACGTCGCACGCTTCACAGCACTTCACTTTGTAGTACGGACGCACTGCGTAAAGTCTGCAGAAAAACTCCTTAAAAAGGGCGCTAACTGCGAAACTGCTAATTCCAACGGATGGACTCCACTCTACCTCGCGAGGCTCCTCAAGTCTAGGGCGATGACTCAGCTGTTCGAGCCCCTTGGGCACAGCCCTCAGCAGCAGAGGTTTCCTTCACAAAAACCTTCTCCTAAACAGCGGCAAGCAACACCAGGAGCTGAAAGGGTGGAAGGAGAAATACGCTTGATTGACGGCTCGGCTGATGGGGATATAGAGGCACCCCTACCTATTATAAGTGTGAATCCTTCGGCCCCGGTTCCGCGTGAAGCAGTAGCGAAGGTCAAGAAGTTGAAAGAGGCCGGGAATGCTGCCTTCTGTATGAGGGACTCGGCCGCAGCCAAAGCCAAGTACACCAAGCCAATTGAGGTATGCCCTAAGGTGGAGGCGACGCGGGAGCTTCTTGGGGTACTCTATTCGAACCGAAGTTTCACTCACAAACAACTTGAAGACGCGCAGGGGGCCCTGGCGGTCGCGCAGGCGGCGGTGCAGCTGCTTCCCGAATGGAGCAAATCACAATATCGCCTGGAGAGAGCCCGCCGCCTCGGCGGCTCGAAGGAGGCGTACGTCGCCCAGTTGTGGAAACGGCTCCGAGGAGACCCGAAAAATAGCCAGATTCGAGAGGAGATGAACACAGCAGTGCAGGCGGCCCGGAAGATTCACGCGGACAGGACCACCGCTGGTACGCCGACTGCTTGTGGCCAGCCTATGGGAAGAGATGCTGGTGTCTCTCAGATGCCCTGAGGGGGGCGGAGGTCACGGAGGGACCGCGAGACGCTCAGTCGTCCCTATTGTACCAGAGGGTTAATAGTAAACCCTTGGTAAGGGTTTAAGGCCTCGCGTCGACCCTCGGAAGATCGAGCTGCTGCCGTGTCAGTGTGTGCCTAAAGCAGCCAAAACCTAAGAGGCTTCCGTAGGGGTGCTCCCTCCTCCCTCCCTCGCCCTCGCTTACTGTGGAGGTAGCCTCGGCGGGTCCCGTGTACACCCCCCTCGAGTCCTCCTGCCACTCAAACTGAGGAAGGGACCTGGCCCTGGCCATTTCAGGTTGACAATCCAAAGACTTAGAGACACCCCGTCTCCTCAAATAGCCAAGAAGCACACGTAGTGCCAGCGTTGGTCAGCTGAGACCTACACGTGTTGCATGCATGCTGCATGCATACGTAATCTATTCTCTTGCTGCATACACTATTACTGCACAAAAGTATTACTATTAACGTAAAAGTAATAGAATTGATAATCAATTAACTTAGTCTATAGGAAGCAAAGGGTTCACTAGTATTAAAGGGAATATAGTGATTATAATAAGGACAACCTTCTCACTATCCTCTCCTCCTTCATATTTACAATTAATTAGTATTTATTTATACATTTATATTCGTCTTTTTTATTCTTTTTTCTCCTACTTTCTTCCTTTTTCTCTATCTTGTTTACCGTGCAGCTGCATGCACAGACGCGTCTCTGTGTCTCGAGGGTGTGTAAGGGTATGCAGCCCCATTAATTGTTTGCATGCATGAATAAATAGAAAAATAAATATAATTTGGTATATTTAAATGCATGCATTGGAGGGGAAGACAGCATAATATTTAAAGAAGCCAGTGTTGGGGCTTGCTGCAGCATGCAGCAGCAGCAGCAGCACGGCCCCACCCGCTGCATCATTTGTTGTATTTTCTGTTGCTGTCTCTGTTCTTCTTGTTAAAATAATAAAATAAATAGGTATAATATAAACAAATACAATTAATAATATATTTATATTCAATAAAAAGCAACAAGTATATCTTTCCCCACACTCCCCCCTCATGGCTTCCTTACAACCTCTGTGAGTTATCGATCCCCTGGATACGGGATCGTGTTGGGATCGTGTTGGGATCGTGTTGGGATCGTCTTGGGATCGTCTGGGATCGTCTTTCGTCTTCTTTTCTCTCATGCCTTCTTCTCTCTTCAATCCCCACGCAGTCATTTAGTGTAGGGAGCACCAGCTCCCTAGCAACAGCAGCAACGGCAACAGCAGCAGCAGCAGCAACTGCTGCTGCTGCTGCTCCCCGTTGCTTTCCGCCAAATACTCCTTCTACAGCGTTTCCCCATTTGCTGCTGCGGCTGCTGCAGTTGGTGCTGCAGCAGCTGCTGTAGCAGCAGCAGCTGTTGCTGCCGTCGTTGCCTCCCGCCCTCCTCGTTGCCGTTGTTGTCTCGCAGGCCTAAACCCTAAACCCTAAACCCTAGCAAAGGGGGGTTTAGCCCGCATGCGATGGATTCTTATGGAGATAATTAGGGTTTAGGGTTTAGCTCCTCTATTTATTTATTTTTTTCTTCTTTTTTATTAAGGATGGCGCGCTGCCGCTTCTCCCCTCGGCTGCATGCATTCAGGGGCCCCACAGCAGCAGCAAGAGAAGCCCGTCTCCATCTCCTTAAGGGTCTCTGCTGTACGCGCAATACTTTGCTGCAGCAGCCGCAGCAGCAGCAGCAGCAGGGAAACAGTAGTAGTAGCTGTACATACACCGCAGAGGAGACAGCTAAAAGGGGACAACAAGAAGATGGTACTTCCCTTGTTGCTGCAATAAAAGGAGACAGTCTCTGCTGCAGCAGATCTGCTGTTGCATCTGTGCTGCAGCGATCTGCCTGTGCACTACAGCAGCAGCAGCAGCAGCAGCAGCAGCAGAGGGCCTCCTTCTTTACGCATGCAGCATCTGGCTCCTTGCTGCTGCGGTCATTAGGTCGTCTCCTAACAGAAGGAGTAAGGCCAAGGGTCCCCTCAGGTGTCTCTGCTGCTGCTGCAGCAGCAGCAGCATCCACCCCCAATGCTGCTGCTGTTGCTGCTCCTTCGCCTGAAACTCCCACAGCAGCAACCACAGCAGCAGCTGGTGCTGCTACTGCTGCCCCGCGGATAGGTGGAGCAGCAGAGACAGCTGGTGTCTCCTCCTCTAATGTGTCTCCTTTACAAAGGGGACGGTCGTTTTCCCATGTTGCCTCTGCGCAGCTGCAGCAGCTGCAGCAGCTGCAGCAGCAGCAGCTGCAGCAGCAGCAGCTGCAGCAGCAGCAGCTGCAGCAGCAGCAGCAGCAAAAGGACCCCCCAACAAATGCGCCTCTGACCCCCCCGGAAGATTTGCTGCTGCAGCGTGAGAGCAGCAGGATAAACTTAACAACCCACCAACGGAGCAGCAGCAGCAGCTGCAGCAGCAGGTGCAACAGCAGCAGCAGCAGCAGTACAAGCTGCAGCACTGCTCGTCGCCGATACAGCAGCAGCAGCAGCAACAGCAGCAACAGGAGCAGCAAAAGTATGGGTCTATCTATCCCTGCCTCCAGGCCTATAGGCAATATAAATAATATCCCTAATACCCCTACAGGGACAGGAGCAAAGAGAACATATAGGGCCCCCATCATGGGGGCCCCCCTAGGGGCCCCTTCCTTTGGTGTTTCCCCCATAGGGGCCCCCCTGGATATATCATCCCCGTTAGGGTATAGATTCCCCCATAAAGGAGGGCCCTCTATTGGTGTAGGTGTAGGAAGAATGTGTTTTAGTGGTGGTGTTGGTTGTGGTGGTGGGGGCCCCCATCGTCGGTGCCCTTATGAGGTATTGGGGTGTATAAGGGGGGCCCCCCTAACAGATATTAAGAAAGCATTTAGGGAAAAGGCAAAGAAATATCATCCAGATGTTAATCCTAATCCACAAGCTAAACAAATCATGGCAGATATTACTGCGTACGTTATATTCATATGCATATGCATGCATGCATGCATATGTATATGTATATGTATATGCATATGTATATGCATACAAGCTGCTGCTGCTGCTCATGCTGCTGCTCATGCTGCTGCTGCTAATGGGAAAGGTTATGGTATTATTATAGCAGCTATACAAAGGCATACATCAATCTATAAGGGAAACAGGATATTATACATTAGCCGTGCTATATATATATATATATATATATATATATATATATA